CGTGCACACTTGGCACTACCTAGTAACAAAGGCACTTGAGCCAAAATACATTGGCGTTCTAACGAATTAAAACACAAGCATGCATGCAGAACTACAAGCAGCTCTGCAGAGACTGGTGCACATGACCTGACACATGTATGTGCACTTACAACAAGAAGTAGTAGTAGTAGTAGCAGTAGTAGTAGTAGTAGCAGCAGCAGCAGCAGTAGTAGCAGCAGCAGCAGCAGCAGCAGTAGTAATGGTAATGGTAGTCGTAGTGGTAGTGGTAGTGGTAGTAGTGGTAGTCGTATGGCGTATTCGTGGTATCGGTTATCGTTGTCGTCGTAGTGCAGCAGCAGGCGGACCTATACAATTTGGTATACCATAACGTGCAGCCATGACTCGCTATAGTAGGTGGAGGAGACAGATGGTCAGGTAGGGCAGGCCAGAACAATGCCAAACGAGGACCACCGTCTTGTTTTGATTCTCGATAAACACTCTCACCTCATTAGGGGCCTCATCGTCATCATCGCCACATGTTGCCGCAATCGCCACCATGATCGCGATGGTGACGTCGCATTACACTATCAGTCGCCATCGTCATCTTCGTCGTCATGGTCGTCAGCACGTCTGTGTGGACTAGATGAAATCATCACAGGTTTTGTCGAAAGGAGCATGAACCGACAATAAATCGATGTTTCAAGCATTGTGGATGCAACAACGATAGATCCACACACTGTGTCCCTTTGTCTTTCTCTCCTTATCCGCTTCCTCCTGCCCTTCCACTTGCCTAGTGTAACAAAGAATCACCAGCCCTGGCGAAGGCGGAGTTGATCCTCCTGAACCCGGAGGGCACCCAGAAGGCCAGTCCTTGTTTTCATCATTTTCACCATTGTCATTATTACCATTATTGCTAGATATAAAAACGGTTTTGACTGTTTGCTTATGTTTGCACTTGAGAAGACGCCTTTCTCCCGCTCGCTCGCTCTCTCTCTCTCTCTCTCTCTCTCTCTCTCTCTCTCTCTCTCTGTCTCTCTCTTGTTTCGTGCTCTTGCCCCCTCCCTCTCTCCATATGGATGTGTTTTTGAGCTTTCGTCCAGGTCCAACAGCAAGAGCACGCATCGACCGTGCGCAGGTGCTACAATGGCGAGAACCGGCCACCGTGCAGCTCTCCTTGTCTCGCCCAGCGATGCTGCTGGTCCTGGACAGCTTGGGGTTGCTGTCGGCAATCTCAAACGTGGTAGTGGTGCTAGCGAGCAAAGGAGGAAGAACAAGAAATACATTCAGAATAGTAGTCGCCGACGAGCTTTTGCAACAATATGATAAAGCACTCAATTCGCGGTGTCGCAGCGTGAGGACAGCGAGGGGGTATTTCTCTCTCTCTCTCTCTCTCTCTCTCTCTCTCTCTCTCTCTCCCTTCCCCTTTCCTCCCGACACACAGGGCCCTAGAACTTCAGGGCGCCTCGATGGTCCGAAGTTAAGGTGAGGGGGAGATGCGGATGCTTAATACGCGATCCGCCGGCAGGACCAGTCCGCACCCAGCAAGGACCGGCCCTTCGGTCCCACGCAGGCGGCTTTCTGCGGAGTTTCATTTGGCAAAAAGCCAGATCGTGCAATCCGAGCTGTAGGGAAAGCTGCGATCCCGATCTTGAACTGGGCAGCTGTTGTGTGCCAGGCCCTTTGCCGACTAGCTGCCGACCGCTGCGTGCCTGGGTGCCACAACTTCCCGGTCCCTGTGCACGCATGGATCAAGAGCTACAGAAGAACGTTTTGGGTTCTGAAGGTTGGAACTCGAAACATGACATATGAACTAGGAACCCAGGTGGTACTTGCAGTTGCCAGCTGCCACTGTAAAGTCGGAGCGACAAGAACCCACGACACGTAGGGCCAAGGGGACGACTATATCGTTTGGGTCCGGTCCGAAGTGAAAAGCTTCCGCACAGAAGCCGTAATCCGCCCCGACCCTTCAACCCGAATTCCCGGCGGAAGATCGCCTTTCTTTCGTGAACGTAGCGCGGGGAAAAGGGCCGTGCAAAAGAAGCTGCTGCCTTTAAGGCGAGAGTGAGAGTCGAAACCCGGCAACCTAATTGCGACTGGCGGTCGTGTCTGCAGTATCAGTCTCTGTAAACTTTTCATCCCTCCGACCTCCAGACATATGCCTCGGCTGAAATGGCCAGAGTTGCGAGTGCCGAAACTCCAGAGCCCTCAAGCCCTACCGCCTAGTACCTAAGGCCCTACATGGCCCTACATTCGAATGATAAGGTTCTTCCTAGAGTCGCGTCTCAAAGGGTTTAGGGTTTAGGGATGTTCAGGGAAGCTGCTTTCCAGCTGATTGGCAGAGTCTGGGTTCAAAAAGTGGATGTTTTGGCTTTAGGCTTTAGAGTATCTGCGACTGAGGTCGAGCCGCTGGGGAGGAGCTGGGACTCCCAGGAGGAGAAAGTGAGCGCTTGGATCATGAGAGCTCGAGGTTCTGACCGGTTTTTTCTTAGCGACTAGCCGACAACCCTGACCCTAAACCCCAAGCCCCTTGGCCTTTCTCCGGATTCTTGGCTTCCGACTTTTTCCCCCTGTTTTTCGCGCTCTTTGTCTTCAGCTCGGGTTGCTCTTGGGGGATTGACGCTCCGGAGCTCAGGTGCCTCCGGTGCCTTAGAGTGCCAGGCCCTTCGAGCGGCCCGGCTGCAGGGCCCGGCAGAAAGGGCGGATTCGTCTGGAGTTCTACTGTGCCCCCTTTTTGAGGTCGAAATCCTCAGCAGCAGCATTCTGCACGCGGAAATGTGGAGGAGTTCTGCATCGTCCTTTGGGGCTGTGGGCCGTGGGCTCGGGATGCCGCAGTTCCTCAAGTCAGCAATAAGCCGAGCGGGTTTTCTTGTTTTTTGGAATGTGGTATCGCGGTATGAACTCGTATTGTGTCACAATTTATACTGAAGAGATAGTTGCGTCTTGTCGGGTTTGTTGCCGTGCTGCGTAAGTGTTGCTCAGTCGTATGCCTTCATGTACAGTGAGTTGTTTCTACTTGGTGGCTGGGGCAGATGCTAATGTAGCCAGACTTCCGTTCTTTATAGTCATATATGTATACACGCTACCACCCAGTACTATGGCCGGCAGTGCACCGGTGTACACGACGACGATAATCATTTTTTAGAATATGTCCTCACACGCTACCACCCAGTACTATGGCCGGCAGCGCACCGGTGTACACGACGACGATAATCAATTTTTAGAATATGTCCTCACTGTAGGTTGCCGTCTTCAGTGTTGGATTTCACCTCGTTATATCGTGCTATGCCTTAATCTACATGTTCAGATATGTTCCCAGGCACTCCAGAACCCCTTGTAAAATCCACTACTTTGGTGCTCGCGAAGTTCATGACTCACGATTTCGCCGAAGTGCCATGCGTGCTTTGGGGGTCATTTTGGCATGCAAATCGCTGAAAGTCGCTGAAGGCCTGCAGGTTGCTGTTCGTCGTGCTGCGTATGGCTTCTGCCACCATTAGCAAAATTCCAGCTGCTGGTGCTAGTTTTATGTAAAGTGCTGTTGCTGTTGTCACGTTTGTTAATTACTAGCAATATGTTTTTCATAATAATAATCCTTGCTACGGTTAAGACCTTTCTTCTATTTTTTAATTTGGTGAACATGAATAGTACTGCCGCTTTGTGTTGGCCTCTCTCTCTCGCTCGCTGTCGATCATGAGCTCAATACACATGCTTCTTCTCGTTGCTGCGGCGAGTATTCTCATTGCTATCGCCGGAAACCTGAATCTGATAGTCTTAGGTGCAGCTTGCCTCCTCATCTGGTGGTACAGCGCCTTCGTCTATGCCGCGGTGCCCTCAGCAGCGATGCTGTGTCTGGCCAAGCTTTTCCTTCCTTTTTTCCCTTCCTCCTCACCCGTGCCCTGAGGTTGCAGGCCTACCGCTGATATTATACTCGCTCCAGTCTCTCCAGCGAGCACAGCATGTCACATTTAAAGTGCCCTGGCCTGCATCCCGCTCTTCTCCCCTCCATCGGGTTTTGCTTTGAGAAGACACGACTTTGAGACTGGGGTTCAATGGTTTGAGGTCCTCGTGGGATCTCGGGACTGGCTCGTATACTTTACAGGTTTGAGGTCAAGAAGTGGTGCCGACAGGCGTTTCATCCAATCTCAGGCTGAGCAGCTGGTGAGAGCTGAGCGTGGTTCGCGTGAAGCCGCTTGGCGGCCCTCTGCGGCCACAGCAGCCCCAGCATCGGGCGTCCAACTCAACTTTAGCCTACTGTCTGAGCCGCAGGCTCCAAGAAATGGTCATGGCAGATGGACCCTTGTGAAGCCTCACTTCCACCACCCCGTCCCACCAAGTGCCAGGCCATGGCCCCAAAGTATCCCCTTCAGCCGGGAAGTAGCCGCAACGTAGTCTCTCGCCAGCTCAGAGCCCGAACGCCCGAGAAGTCGTGAGTCTGTGATTATGCTATGGGTCCTCGCACTTCCTAAATTTCTCTTGCACCGGTGTTCGAAATCGGGACACTGCTGTTCGTGCTCTCACGTGTTTTGCTTTTGACATGCTTGGCCTCGTCGTGCTACTGCCACGCTGTACGTATGCACCTCCGTGCCTTTGCTTGGTGCCTTTCCTCTTCTTCGTGTGTACTAGGTGAAAAAGCAGGTCTTTTATGGTTTGGGGTCGATGATGGCATGCTTGTCGTCAGGTGTAGGGCTCTTTTGTGAACTTGCGTGTTCTTACCAGTGACATTGTAGCTTGGTATGCGGATCTCCAGCTGTGTCCCCTGTACTAGCGTCCTGGCAATATGTAAGGCAAGAAGCCCAAGAGCCACAACCCTGAACTTAGAGAGTCCGTGTGTGACAGCCCAAACTCATGGACAGCAGGCTCAAGCCTTGAAACCTCGAAGGACTAAATCCCATCGCCCTGGTGGTGCCAGAAGCTGTAGAATCCTCTGGCTGTCATACTCTTCCTCCGGAATCCAGGTCCCGAGCCCTGCACGGAGCCCTTCCAACAACGGCGCTGTGCGGGAGGCAGCCCCACGGTGGTCCGGCACCTGGATTCTGGACCCTTGGGTCAGCACTACAGGTCCCTTCCAAGAAGGTCAGGTGCTATCTCAAGGGTCTTCACACTAAGGGCTCCTATTCTCCACGTTTGAATTGGTTTGGTGTCTCGGCTTTGGGGGGTCTTTGAGCTTGTCTCAGGGAGTCTGCAGCAAGATGAGGATGCCGGCAGGGCTGGCGAGTGATGGTGATCATGCAGCAGAAGATGATAATACAGCTTGCTGTAGTTAATGGTGATGAGAAACCCTTGAAAAAGATGATGGGACTTGCGGATCGAGGGGTCGGTGTTGGATGGCTCTCTTTTCCCACTGCACGAACAGACACAGCAGTCTGGCTTTGGCAAAAGGGAGGGTGATACCTCATGTGCCTCATCCGGCCGTAGAGTGTGTAGGTAGCAAGGGATGGACAGGCAATGTGTAAGGAGCTGTGGCAGTGCCTCCTACTAAGAAGTTCACAGTGCCGGAAATCTGAAAATGCGTTGCCGAAGCAAGCTTCCGCAAGCCCAGAATGCCAAAATCGCAAGGACAAGAGTTGCAGCGAGAAATACGAGCCGATCCTGAAGGACCCGATTCGATTGCATGCATCGCCTGTTGCTGTTGGCTGGGCAGGAGTCAGGCCCTTCCTTTCTAGGTTTTGATTGGCTTGCAGGACATAGAGCTACTATTAGCTTCTGACATTCATCGCATCGTGATCAGACTTTGGTAGGGCCTGCGGCATTGAAGCAGGAACCCAGCAGCCAAACATTAAAGAGTGTGCGAGAGCGCCTACAGTCTATGTCGTGGCTTCGGCCAAGCTTCCATGCGTGAATGGAGGACATGGGGGTGAACTACTTGATTCGAAAGGCAGCAGACGCGAAGACGTGTCTTGGACGACTATGAAGACGGATGCGCACAGGGGTTTTCTTCGGATGTAAGGTCCGTGCTGGTCATCAGCAAGTCGGCCACCCATGTGAACTTTGTGGTCAAGAACCTCGTGACTGTGGAGGATCTCCTGCCGGTAGATGGTGCCTGGGTCCCTAAGCCTGTGCCTCCGGCTGGTCGGATGCGCGGCGAGATGTGCCTTGGCTCCTGCTCTGCGAGCTCGCTGTGCTTTTTAGGGAAGAGAGGCAAGGATGGCTCGGGAGCTTAGACTCAGGCGCCTGCGCCTGACCAAGTCCACCGAGAACGAGCTGGACTCTCCCTGAGGGTTGAGGGTTTAAGGGTTATTTGCAGAAGGGGTGTAGGGGTGGCCTTTTGACCCTTCTACTTTCAGCTCGGCTTGGTGGCGTGCGTTGCAGGAGATGGTCACCGAATTTCCTCCTGGCGAAGGTGGTCTCTGTGACACGTCATTGGCCTCGGCTTCGTAGCCTGTTCGTATGTACGTATCAAGGAAGACTGTACCTGCAAAGAGCGCGTGCCATGGCAGTTTGGGTAGCGCAGTAGCCAGAGCAATATCTGACTGCAGAACGATGGCAAGGTTGGTTGTCGATGATGACGGGAACTCCTTCTCCAGAAGGGTGGTACGTAAGCGAAGTGATGGGACGCAGTTGGAGTGTACTCGTGTGTTCCGACGCATTTCCTGAGCCCCTTCAGCTTTACTACATGCTTGTAAGAAGCTGAATTGTCAATAGTATTCCCTAAACCCTACACCTTCTGTAGCTATTGTCAAGAAGGACCGATCGTACAGCGGGGTCCGAACGCGGGAAGGAAGATCCGGAGCGGCAATAAGTAAGATAGATATGATTGAGTCTTCGGGTGACTTGGTTTCCCTATATAACATAAATCTCGAAGACGACTTGAATCCTAAGAATGTATTTTCAATTTACCGAATTGAATGTACATGTTTTAATGATATATCGGGCAGGGATAATATCGATGATGAGATATTTCGAGCATTCATTTTGGATCTCGAAAAGATGACAATGAAATTTCAATTTTTTATTCTACTAGAATAATATATGATACAAATACTAAATAAGATATATATCTAAAATCATCAAATTTTTATTTGTTAATTTTGGATTCAAATGAAAAAATCAATACTATATTCTCTAATAAAACGGTGTCGTGCTGGTCGCCTCCTTTTTTTTGTGCGCGCCCCTGGCCCCTGGAA